GTTCTCGCCTGCATCGTCCATATAGGACGACTCGGGAACTCAACTCCTACCCCGGGCAGCTCACCGATCCCCTTATGCCCAGGGGAAAGGTATCAAGCCGTTTGACAGCTGATGCTAGCTGTCAAAACGGCTTTTACGCTGAAACAGGCGGGAGGCAGCAAACAGCTGCGTCCAACGAAGTCGCCTGCCACCGGAAGTCAAAGGCTGAACTTTTTAGTCTGTAAGTTCACCAGTGGAAATGTGAAAGGCTAGGCATTTTTAAACAATTCACAGATGGATTGGTTAAAGATGGACCTTTTTTTTAACCAAGTGAACTTGATTAGAGTTTGCTAGTTTCCCCTTATATCCAAGGGGCAGAAATAAATATGAATTGGTGAAGCTTGCTTGAGTTTTTACAAGCTTTTTGATGGCACATTGAAATAGTGGAGTTCTCTTATTGCTTATCCTTTAATCGGGTGAAATGGACAAGTTTTTTTCTTTTCCTTTTAGTTCAAGTATTAAGAATAATGATAAAACCATGTTTGCTTCTTTACTTGACCCATGAAGACATCAGATGGGAAACTATCAAGTACTGTACAAGAGCTGAAGTGAAATATATCAGTGTATCAATGGAATCAATATATCCTTAAAGATGCACCAAGGGGAAGAAAAGTGACGTGCTTGCTTTTCTAGCAATAGGGACAAGAAACAAAGTGAGGTAAGCCCCCAATAGGGACCAATGCTTCAGTAAGAAAATATAAATCCATGAAAGAGGAACAAAGAGGAGGAAGGGATTAAAATGTGAAAAAGGTTTTTTATATGATGGCATAATTTCCAGCCAACTTATACATAGGTATCAAGTATTTTAATGCTGCCATGGTGGGAGTGAGGAGGAAAACAACTCTAGATTCTGGAGAACTGCAGGTGTATCCATCTAAAGTCTTAACAGTTGATTTTGTTGCAACTAAGGATTATTATTTTCTTGACTAAGCATGGAATTGGCATTATGTCAGAATGTTATAAAAGCAATTTTTAGCCAAATTAAATAATATTTTTTTAAACCTTCAACTTTACAATATTGTTGGATTTCAAGTTCATCTGAAATGCTTTTGACTATGTTAAATTACTGCAGTGGGGATAATCAATTCTGTATTGCCAAAATTCATCAGGGAAAAATAGCATTATGGACGATCTTCTAGAATTAGACCTTTTCTCCTTTGAAATAAATCTAAAAGAGAAAAAGAATCCTTCCTTCAAATATTTTTAAAAGCTTCTCTATTAGTTCTGCAACATACAAATCTATCAACTCGTTGATTAAAAGACAGATATATAATTGTCAAAACAAGTAAAAGTTCAGTTTTGACACCATTATTTTAAAATGAATCAGCTGAATGCAGGATCATTTCTTAGAGATATACTTACTAAGTGTTGGTATCCATGATTGTACTAGAGACACTATAAAGGATCTAAAAATATATCAAAAAGAGAAAGTTACTGCAAAGTGTATTCATGTTTGTGTTCTGCAGAGAAATTAGTAAACTCCTTCAAGTCTTACCTGGGCACTCTGCAAAGGCCTAATATCCAATTGAGTCATCACTGTTTTTTTTCCAATCACCACTGTTTTATGCAAGACTTCAATATCAAGCTGAGCCACATACACAGGATAAAAATTGTTGTTTGTCACATTTAATATATTCTAAAGAGAAAGAGGATAGGTGATGAGAAAAAAGTCGTAAATTGGTACACACTGTTCTCATTCATAAAAGGATCCTCCTGAACTTTTCCCCTTAACAGGGTCTTATTCTGCCTGTGCTGCTACTACTTTTTAAAATATAATACAAAACATGAAACATTGTATGGTTTCCAGGTTTGTGCAAAGTTTCAGATTTAATTCAAAAGTGCACAGGTGCTTAAACGCAGTCCATATCTGCAACTGTCTTCCCAAGATCATGCAAGTACCTTTTTGAAATCAAATCTGAAGTGCTGTGCAGCCTGTGGTTCATATCTTAAACAGTAAAGCATATCTATAATAAATAGCCATTTACTTTTATGGGGATGAGTGGTTGAATGCAAAAGGAAAGAAGACAATGATTGTGTGACAGTGATCTGGACAAGTAGCAAGTTGGCCCAGGATGAAGGTTTTTCTATGACTCACTGTATATTACTCTAATTTGGCTCAATCTATCTTTTTAAAAGCCACAGGAGCCAGTTCTAGTAGCATACAAGAATCTATTCAGAACATGGAATTGACATGTTTTTATATTTGGTGCATGCAGGACAACTGCTAAGAATTATTGTGACACTATTCCAAGCTGTGGATCATGGCAGGTGCTTTTGCATTCCCTGCTTCTTTTAGGTACAGAGCAACACTAACCAAACTAAATCAAGAACAGCTTCCTTTTGATCAATTTCATTTTATCCATGAGATGAAGGCTTGTTTTGTCCTTTCCATGTTCTTCAGCACATTCATTTGCAATCAGCATTTCTACACATGAAATAATATTGTGCTTATTATTGATAGCATAATGCTATTTTGAATGTTTGTCTGCAAAATGCATTTTTTATGTTTGGGTGTGGTATACTGCTGAGCTTCTGTACAAGTTGTGCTGATGATATGACTGTGCAGAAATTATGACAGTGAGAGATGGAGGGAGGAAAGAAAGCTTTATGGGAACTGCAATTTCATCTTTGCACACTTGCTCTGGTATTATTTTAGATAACTAAACAATATACCTCATTATGAAGTTATTAGAAGCCAGTGATTCAACTTTAGCATACATGCACCATGAAATCAACGGAAAAGAACTATATAGCTGCATGAAAGAACAGCAACCATTGATCTTCATAGTCTCTCTCTTTCTCTCCCCCCTTGTCCCCCTCCCTCCCTTTCTCTGTCATATATTCAGTGCTCTCTTTCCTTCTGATTTAAGGAATGTATTGTGGTTGCTAAACAAGGAGAGTATATATTGCATGCTTACTGCACAACTTACCCTATTAATAAGAATATGATGTTGATAATTGAAAATACTCAGTAAGATTGGTCTGCCAATGTAATAGATGATATGTACTATATTTTATTCCATATATTAAAATAATTAAGTTCAATTTCTTTCTTCTTCCCCAAAAGAAAAATATGAATTTAATGAATGGATTTTTTTCTTTCCTAAAAGATATATTCAGATTCTGGTATTTTCATCAGGTATAGGCAATTTAAAGCTCTTCAGATGTTTTAGGTTTTTCAGATGTTTTAGATTTTCCTTTTGTCAGAAGGTTTGTTAGCCATGATCTAAGAGTTCAACAAATATTGAGGTCCTTGTTCATGCCTTGCAAAATATCCTCTGGAATGTACTATCAAGAGCCACACAAATCCCTTTTAAAAAAATTGTGTTACAGTATCTGAGTTTTTTTCCTTATGCATAATCCTTTTCTTGGATCATATATGCTGAATTCAAACATTGCACTACGTCATTTATTTCATTTTAGTTTAAAAATCTTCTCCTTAAAAAACAAGCTATATTAAGCCATAATATATTGAAGATAAAACATTATGAAATAAGCATTTTAAAAAAGAGACCATGTGGCCAGACACAAGATTTTTGGAACTTGCACTATGATACATAATGTTTCTTCTCTTTGAACGCTATCTATTCACAGGTTTCAAGTTTTGATTAAAAAGAAATTGAACCATGCTCACACAGAAAACCCAATGAAGTACTTGCTCTGGGTTAAAAGAAATAGGGACTGACTAAACTTTATTCCTTTTAATCTCATTTAGTCATCTATTCTTTTGTTTTAAAGAACTAAGATTTAATTTGGGGGCAAAGTTTATTCCAACAACTATTCTACCCATCAGTATTCACTCTTAATATATTCTTCTGACAAAAATTACCTCTAAGCTTTCCCTGAAAAATGAGCAACTGCATGTTATAGAAACTGGACAAAAGAGAGGCTTCCAGATCAAAATTGACACGTTTTTCAGTTTGTGGCCCTGCAATATTCTCTCCCTGCTTCTTAAAGCCACCACACAAATTATATTCAATCTCAGATGAATTTTTAAAAAATCCATAAAATGAATCTGGTCCATGTCTCTCCCCAACTCACTCTTCTTTCACTCTGTTTCTTGAACTTACAGTCATATTCAGGATGATGCTGGAAGTAGAATTGTCAAAAGAAATGGTAGAGGCATTGAGACCTGAGGGGAGCACAGCAACTGAACGTGGGAACAGGAAGTACATCATGAGACAAGTTGTCAGCAGGCAAATGGCTACTGTGAGAAATACATACAGCTTCCTGCCAAAACAGATCACAGGCAGTTAGTGATAGCAGAATTTCCTCCCACCTCAACATACACAGCAATCACTGATAGCAGTATCTAACAAATGGGGATAACTCCACTATGAAGAGGCAGAAGAAAAAATGAGGAAAAATTTGTTCAGCAGAAAAAGATGTGCTTACGTCCGTCTAGGCTTCAGCCGCTGGTCTCCATATGGAATGAGAGCCACTAGCTGTTGCTCCTGCTCTAGAAGGAAGACAGCAGAAGAGAGAGAAAATTAGGGAAAACTGCCAGACCTGCCAGAATCTGTCAATTTAATAAAAGCCTCCTCACATGCAAAACATGAAAAGAACTGCCTGTCTGTCTGCAGCAATCTTAATCAGGCCAAAGCAGTTTTATAGACCAGTTCTATTAAGCCCAGTTAATGCATCCCTTGGTTAAACAATATAGAAAACAGAAAGAGGCCTGGCTTAACTCTAGACGTCAATCAACAAGATCACCTCTGCAAAACAAGTCTTGAAAATATACCTACCTCGGGGGATTCTTCCAGTGCCTTGACAAGTAGGACAAGTGACAAAAGCTCGACTGGTGTGGTTACCACAAGGAACACAAGACACCTCAGAAGCATCTGTTCTATTAATGCTGGCATAACAGGATGCTTCATTCTCAGCATATGATTTTTTCTGTATAATCGATTTGCTTTCTTCTGCCTCCTTTGTAGTAAACAGGTTCTTGAACCACAAGAGGGCTTGATCCATTGTACATAAACACTGTGGCTCTGGTGCAAACAAGCAGCATTAACAAATCAGAGCAGAAAAAGGACTTTTGATTCTATTAAACAGCACTTCATTCCTGAGTTCAGGACAGACAATCTTGAAAAGCATATTTAAAATTAGGAATCAGCGAACTAAAATGGACAGGAATGGGTGAATTTAACTCAGATGACCATCAGGTATACTACTGCGGGCAAGAATACATCAGAAGAAATGGAGTAGCCTTCATAGTCAATAAAAGAATAGGAAAAGCAATACTGGGATACAATCCCCAAAATGACAGAATGATCTCAGTTCGAATCCAAGGCAAACCATTCAATATCACAGTAGTCCAAATCTATGCCCCAACCACTGGTGCTGAAGAGAATGAAATTGACCTGTTCTATGAAGCCCTACAGCACCTTATAGAATTAACACCAAAAAATGATGTCCTTATCATCATGGGGGATTGGAATGCTAAAGTAGAAAGCCAAAAGATAACCGGAATAACAGGCAAGTTTGGCCTTGGAGTACAAAATGAAGCAGGGCACAGTCTGATAGAATTTTGTCAAGAGAATACGATGGTCATAACAAACACTCTTTTCCAACAACCCAAGAGACGGCTCTACACATGGACATCACCAGACGGTCAACACAGAAATCAGATTGACTATGTGCTCTGCAGCCAAAGATGGAGAAGCTCTATAAAGTCATTAAAAATAAGACCAGGAGCTGACTGTGGCTCAGATCATGAGCTTCTCGTTGCAAAATTTAGGTTTAAATTGAAGAAAGTAGGGAAAAGCACTAAGCCACTCAGGTATGAACTAAATCATATTCCTGATGAATATACAGTAGAGGTAACAAATAGATTTAAGGAATTAGATCTGATAGACAGAGTGGCTGAAGAACTATGGACGGAGGTTCGCAACATTGTACAAGAGGTAGCAACTAAAACCATCCCAAAGAAAAAAATGCAAGAAAGCAAAATGGCTGTCTGAGGAAGCTTTGCAAATAGCTGAGGAAAGAAGGGAAGCGAAAGGCAAAAGAGAAAGAGAAAGATACACCCAATTGAATGCAGAATTCCAGAGAATAGCTAGAAGAAATAAAAATACCTTCTTAAATGAACAGTGCAAAGAAATAGAAGAAAACAACAGAATAGGGAGGACCAGAGATCTCTTCAAGAAAATTGGAGATATGAAGGGAACGTTTCATGCAAAGATGGGCATGATAAAGAACCAAAATGGCAGGGACCTAACAGAGGCAGAAGAGATTAAGAAGAGGTGGCAAAACTACACAGAAGAACTATACAAGAACGAGCTTAACGTCCCAGATAATCACGATGGGGTGGTCACTGACCTCGAGCCAGACATCCTAGAATGTGAAGTGAAATGGGCCTTAGGCAATCTGAGCAACAACAAAGCTAGTGGAGGTGACAGTATTCCAGCTGAGCTATTCAAAATCTTAAAAGACGATGCAGTAAAAGTGCTATACTCAATTTGCCAACAAATTTGGAAAACTCAACAGTGGCCACAAGATTTGAAAAGGTCAGTTTACATTCCAATTCCAAAGAAAGGCAATGCCAGAGAATGTTCAAACTATCGCACCATTGCACTCATTTCACATGCTAGTAAAGTTATGCTTAAAATCCTACAAGCTAGACTCCAGCAGTAGGTGGATCGAGAACTACCAGAAGTACAGGCAGGATTTCGAAGAGGCAGAGGAACTAGAGATCAGATTGCCAACATACGCTGGATCATGGAGAAAGCTAGGGAGTTCCAGAAAAACATCTACTTCTGCTTCATTGACTATGCTAAAGCCTTTGATTGTGTGGATCACAACAAATTGTGGCAAGTTGATGGGAGTACCAGACCATCTTATCTGTCTCCTGAGAAACCTATATGTGGGTCAAGAAGCAACAGTGAGAACTGGCCACAGAACCACTGATTGGTTCAAAATTGGGAAAGGAGTGCGGCAAGGCCAGCTGACAAATGTGCCTGCCAATGAGATAGAAAAAAAAAAAAAAAAACAAGGAACCAAGCTGGTTTTACACAACTTACTTACTTAGCTGCATAGTGTATGCTTTAATATGAGTTCTTGTTCATATCTGAGAAATGTAATTACAAACAGTAGCTAACAGATTGCCTTCTTGGAGCTAACTTCTCATTCCACTATTCAATCTGAATAGTACAAATTAATTAATTTGCTTCACAAGAAATATCAGCACTCCCCTCATTGGTTGCTTCCAAGCAAATAGGAAATTCACCAAAGTTCTCTTGTTTTCCCAGCAGGGTCTTTTTCTGGTTAGCATAATTTTAAAATATCAAAACTCTTTGCTGCAAAACAATGTATATTAAAAATTATTCATCTAAAAGAAGTGGAGAAAGAAATCAGAAAGAAATAAGATGATTTTGAATCCTCATAATGGCCCAACAAGAAGTTGAAGGAAGGAAGGGAGAGAAGGAAGGAAGGATAGTTTTTTTAAAAAGGAGAAAACAAGAACGAAAGCAAAGAATGGAAGATAAATCGGTGAGCGGGGAGGAGAAAACAATGCAGTATGGTTTGAAGGGCCAGGAGAGTATGAGGGTCGTATGTGGATCGTTAGAAAGGTTTCTTAAGAAAGTAAGGAGGGCATCTGCTCACCGCATCCCACCAAGGCCAGAGACAGGCGCTAAATCGTTAGGACTCCTCAGCCAATCATAGATATGAAACAGAAAATAAACAATACTATAATGGTGCCAGCCTTCGTCCCTTCACACGACTCCCACCCTCTTGCAAGAGGTGGGAAATAAGCAGTTCCACCCTCAGCCGCTACTTCCCTTCTTTTTCAGCCGTTCTATTAAGGTGCATTCTTCACCCTGATACGCAGCAAAGATTTAGATCCGCACTTTTTTTTCCCCGGGAATGGGAGGTGCCAAAGTTAAACACTGACTGAAAAAACGAACCTTGTGACTTACAATGTGATTCTTTGCGCTTGTTTGTTCGACATTGAAAGTGCTCTTGGAAATATTCCAAAGTATCGTTGAGGATTGGAGCCTTGCAACAGATCAATCCGTTTCAAAACTGCATAGAGGTGAAGTCCGCTAAAACGGCAGCACTTCCTCCCAAAGAGCTCCCAAACTCGTAGCTTTACCAACCTAATCCTTCCCACACGCTGCAAGCCCATGCCAAAATCCGTTGTGCTGGCGCGACGTAAGCGAGTCGTGTTAAATAAAAGGAGTGGCTTGAGCGTCTACCTTCCGCTTTTCACATTAGTTTGGTCCTTGGAAGGGTGTGAAAGGAAGTGCTTGTGTAATTTTGACACTCCACTGAATAGTGGTTGTGGTTCCTATTTGTTAGCATTTCGCTCCATATTTTAAGAGGCGCTTATGAAGTGTGCCTGAGCTCGCTCTGCTTTCTCTGCTGTTCGGAGATGCTGGTTCACTTTCACTTTAAATTCAGAATGTAAATCCGCTCTCAATTTTATGTGGTTTTTCAATACATTTGGTAAACTTCCTCGTTTCACTATCTATTACGATTGTTCTAATCTAAGCGATTGCAGGTTTTTTAAAGCGAAGTTGGAAGTTAGATGTAGCTGGAATTTCTCTTGTAACCTACTTTGTATTCAGCCGTTGGCCTCAGATAGGTAAAACGGCAGAGGTTATCTCCTCAAAACCATTAACTTAATGTTTTCGGGTCCGAGATGTGCCAAAATAACTTGACCCACCTTGGGCACACCAAAAGTTATGAATATAAACCCACATGTTAAGGTCTCAAAATAATTCTCTGATACCTGGGAGTTGATATGGGTGAGAAATGTGAAATTCACGCAAGCTCAAAACTTACGTGAGAACTTTTACAAAATGTTTTATAGATGGCACATGGATCCTGCAACTATGTCTCGTATTTATGAGAATTATGAATCCAAGTGCTGGAGGTGTGGACAACAAGATGCAACTTTTTTTCATATGTGGTGGACTTGCAAGGNTTCACCTACTTATGTAGAATAATATTTTGTGGAGTTAGGGATATTAATAGTAGTTTACTTTTAGTTGAATAGTATCCTGGGATCAGGTTTGGGAAGTCCGGGGGGTGGGGGGTGGGGGGTAGGGTTCTTACATTGTGATGTATTTGTGATGTGTTCTTTTTTTATGATGAAAATAATAAAAATTTATACTTGGAAAAAAAAAATAATTCTCTGGATGTTTCCAGCAACATTAGTTTAAAATGGTGATCACATTAGAAAGAGTCACTATTTGGTTCCACAGGACTTGCACTCTCAGGCCTGACTAAGTGGAATTTAGCTTCCCCCCCCCCCCAAGAGACCCTCTCTCCCTTGGAAATCCATTTGTTGCAAAAGTGCAAATGGGAATTACCAGGCTGTGCCCCTGAAATTCCAACTACCATTAAGCAAGGTGGATTTAGCCTGTACATAATTTCTGATCTTCCAACTAATCCCAGGGAATTATACTGTAGATGGAGTAATAGACAGGCTTTTGTTTATCACCCTACAGAAGGTATAGAAGCAATATTTGACTAAGGTTCACACAGAAAGTCTTGCATTTTACTTTCCTAGAATTGGACTGAAAGCAGTGGCTCCGAGAAGATGAGGATTAGTCAGATGTCAAGAAGTTCATCTTGATGGCAGTCTGTCAAAATTATCTTTTATTGGTGAACCCCTGGAAGGAGAATCTTGCCAATGAGATTTTAAATTATCCCTCCTCATAATTTTTAACAGATCCTTTCCAGAATACTTAATCCCAGGGAAACCTTTCTTTATCTGACCTGGAATTAAGTTCCGGAAGTTGTATGGTAGTGTATATCAGTTCCTAAATAAGATTACTGGCATTTTTATGCCATGTTTCTGAATTTATACAAATATTGGATATTTGTTTTAAAGATTAGTTAATAAACTGGATGAAACTTTGAGCTGGCAAAGAAATTATACTTGAGAAATCAATTAATTCCTTATTTTCTTTGTATAAAAGAAGCCCCTGCTTTTTAAATAAAACATACACGTTTCAACTCCCCCCCTTTTGAATGTGACAGTTTGACTTCTTTCTAAAATACCCACTCTGCAGCCCACAATTTTGTAACACTTAGTATTTCACTATTTGCACAACAGTTAACAAAATGTCATATATATGACAATAGGTACTGTAATTAATGTCAGCATCTATAAAGAACAAGAGAAATGTCTTTCACATGCTCAGGAAATCTTTGGACCTACACAACTGGTACAAAGAATAATAAATATGCCTCACTGTATGTACAAGTGTTGTCATTCCAGCATGACAATGTATTTTATATGGAAACACTTTTGCTTTTACTAGATGTTTCTTTTGCAATCTATGACTTTACCCATTATTTTAAAGATAAAAGAACACATTTTCACAAAGGGAAACCTAATATTGTGCATTTTTAATATTTATTTTTATCTCAAAGACCATGGTGCTTAATCTAAGCAATAAGCAATATCTTAATATCAGTATTGTTTAAATTATCAATCATGCAACTTCTCATAAAACATACAAAGCCAATAGAAGAAATTTCACCCTTTATGAAACTTAAGAAGAAAGCATTCTTCATCAGAGCTAACAAGAAGTTAGTTGATTGAAATAGTAATTCAAAGTAAATTAAAAAAAATATGAAGATCTAATAATTTAAAGGTTTTCCCCATCAGCCCAAAGACAAGTTGCAGATCTTATTTCTTCCATTCAGAGATATTCAGTTTGCATACATATTTTATTAAATAAGCAATACATAGCACAAGCAGTTTGTCCTCAGCGTCTCAATCTGCCTCTTTGTTAGGAAACTTTTCTCATGTTCCTCATTTCAATCCCTTGCAATCATTAACTATTTCCTATCAAAGTCACAGAAAAGCTGTACTTGTGTATGTCCCATTACTGTTGGCATGCTTTGTGAACAGACATTCCTTTCATCCTATATGAAAAAAATCAAACACCTGAGAGTCAAATCAAAAATTATAAACCCTTTAGAAATGTATCAAAGCCTTACAGTATTTTTTTCAGGAGGATATGGACAGAAATTCCCCACAGATTCTTGAATCCTCTGTCTTGATTAATGGAGACATAGGAAGTTGTTTTCCTTAAATATCACTCATCCATATTTTTGTCTTTTTTTCTTTTACATATTAAGTAAAACTTTCTATCAGGTATTAGTAATATAGTTAAGCTGAAGAGTTGTTAAAATATTGCTTTTTTAGGACTTCAATCTGGTCTAACACCTGGGTAGAGAAGATCAGGAATACTGCTTGTGAGAGCAGTATTTACTCCTGTGAAACACTGCTGGCTGATAAAAGTCTACAAAAATATTTTTTTAAACACTCAAATGTGTCTTGATCATCTACCTTTCAAGTAGCTTGAGCAGTCACTATCAATAATTTTTTTCCTAAAGAATTATGTAGTACAAACAGCTACACTTTTAGTATTTTTATTCAAATAACCAATTCAGTTCTGCTTCTAACAAGGAAATAACCAGAAAAGTGGAATTGTGGGGTTTTGATGGAATCTTCCTAATGAGGACAAAGTTTTCAGATAATGACAGCGTCCTGCAAGAAACATAACATTAAATGTGGGATAAAAGTATTGCTTAACCAGAAGAGAAGTAAAGTAAATTGGAGAACAAATAGCCTACTTTGGCTGCTAAGGTCAAGTCCATTTATATTTCTGGAACATAATCACTTCTTTTCTCCTATCTATAATCTGGCATTCACCAGTTTGAAAAAAAAAATTAAATAAAAGGTACTCTAATGCCTGAACGTAGGATAATAGAGATGGTAGGAATTATAATATGCTGAAAAATAAAAGTGAAGCCATCTTGGTTCTGCTTAGGACAGAAGAGAGCTAGAAGCTGCTGGTGCCAGTTGCTGTTAAGTTTTTTTAATGTACAAGCGAAAAAAGTTCAGTATGGACTCTCATACCAATCACCCTGATTCAGCTGCAGCAACTCAGTGACAACAAGATTCACGTCACATTTATGTTTCTGCAATAGATGGAGATTAAGGTGTCTGTCACAGAAGCCCATTTCATGTAGGTGGGCCAGAAATGAAGCCATATGATTTTCACTGGTTACAGAAAGAGCCTGGAAGGGTGAAAAATACAGAAATATCAATATAAAGAGGAAACAAACACATACATGCAAAGCTCCATATAGCAAACATTTATGTACACCTCAGATATTCTAAGAATTCTCCAACTGCAGTCATCCCAGTAAAATTTAAATTGGAATAATTTCTACAATACTCAATATTCTTTTCCTTTCTGTAATAATGTACAATATCACCCAGTTCTCAAGCTTATCTTTGCATTCACAAAAACTAGCAACCTGCTGAATCTTTATATATAAGATTAATTATGAAACTGCAAAATGTATACACTCCTGCTCCTTGCTGTTGCCATTATTAGTGCATGATTTATATTTATTTATTTATTTTTAAAATGTATAAGGCCAGACAATTTAAGCAATGTGACTTGGTAGCATGCAGCACAAATAATTAAAAAGGAAACCCCCCACCATGCAACAGTAATATAAATATAAAAAGATGTTCCAGCACATAATAAAACAACCAAAAGGGATTTCTCACTCAAATGACCCCTAATGCATCAGGGAATAGCCAAGTCTTAAAGGACTAGAAGACTTGGGTTTGTTGTATTTTGGGGGGGGGGAGGATTGTTCCAGAGAACAGAAGCAACCATAGAAAAGGCATGTTTCCTGGGTCTCATGACAAGATGATCTATTTACCTGATCCATGGAGGCTTGCCCAACAAACAATGCCTTGTAAGCTGAGGCAGCCACTGATAAGGCCCCTTTCACCAGGCCACCCGCAAGGCTATTTCCTGGGCTATGTCTGCAAATCAAATTACAATTGAAAACATACAAATATAGAGAAAGGGCTTTTTCTGTATCAGACTACTGATCCACCCAGCACAGTATAACCTACTCCAACTAGCAATAGTTTCCAATCCAGTGACCCAACATCTTCAGTGAAGATGCCAGAAACCAAAATTAACATTTTCTGTATCCAAAGAGTAGTGAGTGGTCTCTCCCAATGCATTGTTCTCTTAAAACCATTTGTCTGCTCTAGTTTCTTTTGCCATTGTTGGCTTCCTGCTTCAGTAGTGCAGTTTTTAAAGCCTCAATTGATTTGTTCAACTGTAAGATTAAATCAACATTTCTGAAAAAGGAAGAAACAGAAGGCTAACTGACACATCAAAAATCTCTCACTAAAAAAATCAATTGTCATTCACACCATGATGAAATCTCAGTTTGATCTTTTTTTTTACCTAGAAGATTCAGGATACATTGATGGGTTATTTATATTCTCTGGAGATGAAACCTCAGGATCATCTCTTTGTAATTCTAGAAAAAAGTGAAAATAAAAGTACATGAGAACAAGAACAGGAAAAAAAAGAACCTATCTGTGTGCTCCAGAAGGAGGAAATAAGAGTATAGTGTTATTTAAACCAAATTTGTAAAATTTACTGGATTTACCTAATAAAAACAACAATATGTACATATGTATTCCTCAAATATACATACATCTCTGGAGAGCAACAATCTATAAACTAATGACTTCAGTTAGAAACTCCTGCTCATTGTCTATCATGTAGAACATTGCAATACAATACCTTCTTTCATTTGGACAGGAACCAACAGGGCTTCCTCTCTAGTGGAAAAAGTTGCTTCTTGGGAACTCTCATTTTCAGAAAGAGCCTGAAATCTGTTAGAGAAAAATAATCAGGTATTTATAATGTACCAAAAGCTCAACTGAATGAAAATTGGAGATATTGGTTCATGCTACACATTCAGGTAGTTCCATTATAATATAATGTATCTATTATAATCTAGTAAAATTCCAGATGGCTTTTTTCATTTGGATTTGTGTGTACATTTTGGCTTGGTATATTCACTCAGAAATCAACACTTCTCTTTGGGAGGATACTTATAATTATAGGAGATAATGAACTCTTTAAGGTTTTGGATTATTCTTGATTTATATGGTACCTTATTGGCTGTGGTTCCACAGTCTGAGCGGTCAGTGACACTTCATCAAGGGTCTGAGAGGTAATCAATATATCACTGGTGCTATTCACTGGTGTATGGCTTTCTTCAGGATTTGCTGGAGCCATGGTCATGTTTTCTAAATTTGACTGAGAGAGTGCTGAACTGTACATTGACTCGCCCAGAGGACGGCTAGTATCAAAACATTCTGGAAGGACAATGATATAATCTTCAGAAAGAGAAGATGCCTGACTGCTGACTTCATCCTGAATATCATTGTCAGCTTCTCCTCCATTTGTTTCTTCACCATCTCGCACTGGGAGGTTTTCTAGTAGAATACAGGCGATAGTGTTTCAGTATAAATGTCAATATTGCAGTCCTTTCCACAATGCCTTCATCATTCTCTTTTGTAGGTATACCCAAGCCACAACCCTCATAAAGTAAAAACTTATTCCCTACCACCCACATCATAGGTCAGTGATGGCGAACCTTTTAGAGACCGAGTGCCCAAACTGCAACCCAAAACCCACTTATTTATTGCCGGGTGCCAGGTGGGCGTGGCCCACTGGATGGGCGTGGCTGTGGTCATGGCAGAGTAGTTGGGTGTGGCCAAGGTGGGTGTGATCACCTCAATGTTGCTCGTGGGGAGGATGCCTGTGGGGGCCGGGCAGGGTTGGGGGAGATCCAGGGGGTCTCTGGCAGGTGGGGCGGTGGGCAGGAGGCTTGTCCTGTGGGGTGAGGCGAGGCAAGGTGAGATAGGGTGGGGGTGCCATTGTCGCACGGCAAGGCGAGGCAGGGGCCGGGACGGCCCCCGCACATAGAGGCCAGTGAGCACATGAGGGCCCCTCAAGTGGCGCACTCTGGGGCTCCGCAGTCCGCCGTCAGCAATTCAGAGAAGCCGCCTCTGAGCTGGACGGACGGCCGACAGCTGAGGAGGTGATGCAGTGGGTCGTGCCCGGGAAAAGGAGAGCATGCGAGGCCAGGAGGGATGGGACGGGGGGGAGGGAAACCAGCCATGCTGGGATGCATCCGACCACGTAGGACCTCGGCAAGTTAGCGGGCGGCTGGTTGAAGAGGGACAGTTGCCATCTCTGGGGCATGGTGCATGTGCCCAGAGAGGGCTCTGAGTGCCGCCTCTGGCACGCGTGCCATAGGTTCGCCACCACTGTCATAGGTAGTCCTTAGTCACCTGCATTTCAAGTATGTATCTTGGAGAGGAATAGAAAATAGAAACTATAAATGTGTGGTGTGTGTGCCATCAAGTCAGCTTTTGAATTCTGTTGACTGCCTGGACTAATCCCTCCAGTTTTCTTAAAAAGATTTTCAGAAGTGGTTTGCTGAACTTCCTTCCAAGGGCTGAAAGAAAGCGGCTGGCCCAATGTCATCAGCTGGCTTCACGCCTAAGATGAGTTTATGACTCCTGGTTTTCAGCCTGATGCCTTAATTACTATATCAAACTCTCATAAACTATGAGTAATTTAGTGAAATCTTACCAAATTCAGGAGTAGGTACTCTGGCTTCTAATTCCTCTGAAACAGGGTTAATGGAATTGTTGTTGTCTGGGCTGCAGTGGGCAATATCGGATAGTGTTTGCAGAGAATCTAAATCAACAATAACAAAAAAAGAGGAAATGATCAATTACGCTGTAGGTGTTTTCTGAATATGGTAGTTTTTCAAAAGATATTTCAAAGCACTCACTATGCAAAGACCTCTTTTTTTGTGGGGGCTGATGATCAGGTGCAGCATCTAGGGTGAGAGAACGAATGACTGTTTCACATACAAACTGGGTTCCACTCATGTCTTCCTCTCCTTCTTCTTGGTTTCCTAAATTTTCAGCCTTCCCTTTGCTGACTTCAGCATCTACAGGATGAGATTAATATTATTGGCAGTATTTACTAAAAATTTCAGAATGGAGAAAACTATCATAAATATTGAGAGTTTGTGTTTCATTGTTGGTAATCATTTTTATCTAATTCATTTTATCTAATGAATGTAAGTACTTCAAGCAGTGAGACACATCAAGAAGAAGCCTAATACCATTCAACCTACAGGGTTGCAAGAACAGAGTCTTCGCAAAAACATCAATTTTCAAGAGTTCGATTTGGAGTCAGATGTCAGTACCTCCATAATGCAGCTTTTATACAAAAATTAGAAATACTTAAATTTCTAGGTCTATAAAACATTTGAATACATTTGAATACAAGCCTAGTAAAGGCATTTGAATACAAGCCTAGTAATAAAGATTTATGTTGAGCTAAGCATATCATGGTTGTCAAGGGATAAAGGGTGTCCTGCAGCAGGGGTTATACTGTAAGAAAAAAACTGAAGATATAAAACACAAATCTAGGAAATCTGTATAATGCAGCTTTAACTAAGTGCATACAACCTTGCAATCATTTTCCAGTATCGCTAAAACTACCTGGTAAACTTTCCAAATTCTAAAGCTAGCAGCTTTGCAGCAAAGTTGATTGTCAATAATAAAACCAATTAAAATGCTTGGTCATTCAGTTCTTAGCCGAGACTGCTGGCTTCTACTTGATAAGGAAACCCAATGGAAGAACAGGAAATTCGTAGGGCCATTTCAGTGCTTCTCACTGCTTACCAGGCAGTAATTCATAAGTGATTCTCTCATTCTCTTCTTGTTTCTGATCTAAGTCAGTTGTTTTTGGAAGAGGAGTGCAGTCATGGCTTTTGTATGGACTTGGCCCTTGTATGGAATCTGGAAAAGCAAGATAAGGATGATACCACAAGGAAGAACCATAACCTTTTTTTGGTATTTCTGAAACTATTTTTATAGATTCATTCCATTGTCTCATCTGTAGGGAAAAAAGTGGACTGGTCAGCAGGTAAATACTAAACATGCCTGGAACCAAATAGAAAGAATTAAAGATTTTCAGAAATTGAGAGAAATGATTAGTTAAGCATCACAGATCATATGGATCACAAATTTATCCTGTTCCGTTCGGCTGTCATTCACAGTCAAGGATAATATGCTAAATACATCCTAATATGTTGGCCTAGAGCAGGGGTAGGCAACCTTGGCTCTTTTATGACTCGTGGACTTCAACTCCCAGAATTCCTGAGCCAGTCATGCTAGAGTATCAAAGGTAGCATATGCTGACCAACTATTCTTACTTTGAGGAAACTAATAAAGAGAGGACTAAGCCTTGCAAATTAAAATCTCATTACAGTTCCATACTGTGAGAAACCTGAGAATCTTCCACAATAAGCAAATAGCACAGTGCTTGCTTAATATACCAGGCAAAACACAGTAATTTTGCAAGGAGAAGCAGCAGTTCCAGAAGATTCCAGGAATTGGTAGGGAATCCCCTATTGGAGAAGTATGTGCCTTGGCAGGTATCCAATAATGTCAATTAGACATACTGTCTTGAGAAAGCAGGATGAGAATGTATTTGCCACAACTCTCCTCCAAAAGCCTTCTTGGGCACAGAGAATACTTACCAACAGGAGTATTACGAGGGACCTGCTCCAGTTCTTGCACTATGTTAATGTCCAGCAATTCAAAGGAGAGCAAATCCTAATGGAAAGAAAACAAAATGAACAATTTAATGACAGAGGAAACTGTATGGAATAAAAAATTTCCTCTGAACCCATTTTGAATTTTGGTTTATACTAGACATTTCACCTGGGCTGTGAGAAGATCAAGTGATGGGATGTAGAACTCTCTAGCACTGAGGATTCTTTTCATCTTTGATGAAGCAACTCGGTTAGCCAAACTTATTTCTCCCTTGAATTCTGATCCTTTTTCCTATAGAGAAAAGAAGTATTACTGAAGAATGCTCCAAGGTGATTTTGAGGCAAATTGTTTTACTCAGGCACTTCATTGTATTATTTATAATGCAGTACATCTTCCATACTACCTTGATCTCTAAATTTTCATTTGTTATTCTAGATTATATAAAAAAGACTGAATCTTCTTCAGCTAAACCAATGTGCAAAATAAACTTGCAAAAATTATTTTTTCAATACATCTTTGTATTTTCTAAAAAAATAAGTGACACTAGTACACTTTCTCCCATTGTTTTGTTCATTCAGAAGTTGCATATTATTTTACTTTTTTTAAAAATCATATATCCCTTATATTATTGAGCTGAGAAATAGATGGAACAACAATCTTGCAATTAGTTTAGAACAAAGTTAATAGGATAAATGGATTAGGATGTTTACAGGATCCTATTTTTGCTTGGGAAACTATCTCATGCAGACTGATCCATTGATCCTAGTAAGGTCTGTAACAGCCCTGCAAATGTTTTGGATGACAACTCTCATAATCTTCAATCAGTGTAGACTGATTAGCAGGCTGCTTTCTATGTTATCAGGTCAAGATCTCTTTTTTTCAGTTATACCTGAAAATGTTAGGGGCTGAATCTAGGGTTTTGGAATTTAAAATGTACTTTTCCAATGAGTTCCTACTCTTTCAGCTAATAGAAGTATGTTATTAACAAAATCCTCTTTCTCCCAAACATATAATTCTGTTTGCCAAAGAGGAAAAGCAATGGTGCACATGCTTTATTTTTTCTTTCTAGCTCTTCAATTTTGAGCCCAATTGAGGTGGACCTATAGACCACTGTTACATCTCAACATTATCCCAAGCACAGATTATTTCATGAATGACTTATCTGAATGATTAAAACTGTTAAAACAAATTAACTAACAGCCCAAAGGATAATTAGCTGATTGATTCTAGCAATTTAAATTATTTGAATCAGAAGAGAATATGGGGCAGATATGGCGGGAGCAGAGGACCATATCGGGTTTTGGGAGCACGCACACGCTGTTTACAAGCTTGTGAGTGCTCCGGTCCTCTGGGCTCTACTCGGCCTCCAGGGAACTTAGATCCTTGGGCCCGGGATCACCGGCTGATGTTATGCAACGCCAGGTCCGTGGTAAACAAGGCCCCCCTCATCCAAGATCTTATCTAAGAGGGGGGTGCGGACCTGGCAGGTATCACCGAGACCTGGTTGGGCACGGAAGGGGGAGTGCCCCTCGTTGACATCTGCCCGCCAGGTTTCCAGGTATTCCATCAGCCAAGGACCCGGGGTAGGGGCGGTGGGGTAGCGGTCATTATAAGGGAGAATCTATGTCCGAGGGAGACCACTGTGCCTCAGATAGACGGTGG